TGAACTGCTGGTAATTGACAAGTCATTTTTATTCAACAGTATGTGAACAAGCTCTCTTGCACTGGATTGACCTGTCAACATATTCTCTTTGAGGTGAAGCTCACGATGCTTGTGGCCTTGAGCATGAGTTCTACTCTTCACATGGTGATTCAGAAGGGGAGCCTGGAGAAGCCAGGTTAACTCTTTCCAAGCACTACCCATGACTCGGCTTCCTACACAGTAGTTTCCATGTAATGAGAACTTTATATTTTAGTTTGGATGAAGTAAAATCAGTTGCCTCCTTGATTTTTGCTCATTTACTGAGAGTCTACACTTATCTAAGTTAAGAGGAAAGGTGAATAAACCAGTGGTATAACTGAAAAGATTTTTGTAATCATGGTTAGAAGACAATGGTACTCTTATCAGGACTTGGCATATCAGGCCAGTGGGTATTGTACAATTTGAGCCACAAATTATTGAGTGGGTGACCATGATAATATTTACAACATTTCTTGTTCTTTTCATAGGACTCAAAGTTTTGCTGTGTGTCTTTGTAGCATAGTTATGAACAAATAGACAGCATGGTTAATGACATTTCATGACATTTTTAAAAGGAGAAAACAAACAAACAAACAACAAACAGTATCATACTATGCAGCCCTGACTGGCCTGGAACTTATTATGTAGACCAGGCTGGCCTCTGGCTTGTGATTATCTTCCTGCCTCTGCCTCGCAAACACTGGAATGACAGGTACGCCTTGCCATCCCCAGGGTGCTAAGGCCTGCTTATAACAGACACAAAAACATTAAAAAAAGGAAAGACAAACTTAGGGTTTTAAAGACTTTTTCTGTATATGTATGTGGGTGTGTCTGAGTGTGTGTTTATGTACATACATGTGTGTGTTGTCTTCAGTGACCAGAAAATATCAGATCACTTGGAGCCAGAGCTGCCGATGGTTCTACATCGCCTAATATGGGTGTTGGAAAGCGAAGTCCAGTCCTCTGCAAAGCCAGTATAAATTTTTAATCACTCAACCATCTCTCTAGCCCTAGCTTGGGGTTTTAATAAAGTGATTCAGTCCCACCTATGGCCTGGGACTGTCAAGCACACTGGAAGTTTGCAGAGCAGCTAACCTCAGCTAAAGAGGAGGCTTGTAAATATATATCCAACACAAAATAGGCTTTTACTCCAGTGAAGCAGATCCAGCAACAAAGGTGGTGGTGTTGGGGGCTAGTGGTGTGGTTCTTTATGTCAAAGAAACATCTAGAATACATTAACTAAAGAAATACATTATCTCTACATACATGGAGTAAAGGGACACCTAAAATAACCCAAGTAAAGCCCCGGCACACATAGCACACCCTCAGTTTTACAGATGGAGAGGAATGGACTTGGAACTCTACATTACATTTAGGGATGGAATCATTAGCCAATCATGGGCTTTGCTTCCCGTTTCCCGGATAGCTGTGTGTCCTCAGGTGACTGCCTTTCTCTACTTCAGTTTTTTTCCATCTGCACAGTGGCTTCTGGAAGCAAATTAAAGGTGTACATTTTGTCTAGTCACTTTTTAAAAAAGTACATATAAAATACTTGTAGAGAATAAGTTCTTAGTTAATCCTTAAGAGTGATAACTTTCATATTTTTATACTTTAACTTTCAAACTATTAACAGTAAAAATATACTGCTTTGGTAAAATTAGTCTTGCTTAAAGGATATGTAATGAAGTGATGGTGCCCTGGCTAGAATAAGTGCTACCAGAAAAAAGCATGTCTGTGGGGGGAGGGATTTGTAGGATTCTGTGTTTTAACTTGATTTGAGGTGAGACTACCAAGCCCCCAAATGTCCAGCTCCACTGAAAGCTGAGTCTGGAACCCAGGTCTCCAGACTAAGCAAGGATAGACGCAGGAGGCAGAAGCATGTAGCCTTACATTTATAATTGTACATAGAACTCATGTATACTAAGAGTGTGAGAAAGGAACAGGGGCTATAAAAATTGGAAACAATGTATCTCCAAGGATTCAGGTTTGGGTCTTGGAAGGTCAGAGACTGAAATGGAGAAGCTGGTGAAAGAAGTCATTTTTGGTTGTTTGTTTTTAGGCAAGGACTGGCTATAACACACCATCCTTCTATCTTGGCCATTAAAATTCTGAGATTATAGCCATGCAGCATCATGCCTGGCTGAGAATAGTTTCGATGAAATGAAGAACATAAATTTGGTTGTGGCTATTCTTAGGTTTGCAAAAGATTTAAGTGAGTTTGGGCTATGGTGGTTTTATAATGTAAACCTAGAGCTACATGTCAGGGCAGGGGCAGGAAAAGAAAAGGCTTTGTGGGTTTCATGGGATTAAAAGGTGTAGTTCAGACAAACAAAATTTTCAGTGCTCAAATAACAGACTGAGATGAGAGCTAGTCAAGGGATGCACTGAAAGGGGCCCAACTGTGATTTTAGAAGGAGAAGGAAGTGCCACAGAAGAATGGGACCATCTCAGGAAAGAGCCATGGCTTCCCTTAGCTCAGCTGTGGACAGCTTGAATTCAAAATGGAGATGGCAATGGGACAGATATGACAGAAGTATGTAATGCATATATATATATATATGAAAATGCCATAATGAATCCCGTGGTTTTGAGCAATTAATATATGCTAAGAAGATTTTTTAAAGGACGGGCCGGGGATGTGCCTCACTTGGTAGAGTGCTTGCTTAGCATGCAAGAAGCAACAGATTTGATCCCTAGCATGACATAAACTAGGTGTGGTAGAGTACTAAGGAACTGGAGGCAGGAAGATCAGAAGGTCAAGTTCATCCTCCACTACATATTGAGTTTGAGGCCAGTCTAGGGGTACATGGGACCCTGCCACAAAAATTATCTTAAAGGAAAAGAAGAAATTTAGGGGAGAGATCGGAAGACATCAAGTTAGGACAGGAAACAAGGGATCTTTTGTTTTTTTTTTCTAGGAAGACACTACCAGTGACTTCAAAAGTAGTTCCTGAGGTCTGAAAGTGTAGCAGACTGAATCTTTGTTTAAGATACCAGCCTGGGCAGTGAGAGAAGAAAGTAATTGATGGTAGCTGTGGAAGATGGCTGAGCAGGGTCACAGCTTAGTCAAGATACAGGACTCTATGAATATTTGAAAGCAGGAAGGAAGAGATGAAGGAAGAGATGAAAGCTTTGGAAAGGTAGAGGTGAAACCTGACCAAGGATGCTGGGAATGTAACGGGGAAGAGCGGGCAGAAGCAAGAACTCGCATTAAATCCAGACAGCTCTCTCCTGTGATACTTGAACAGTGTGTGAACTTTGAACGACTTGCAGTTTTTTTTTTTTGTCTGTTTTTTGTTTTGAAAGACTTGGGAGAGTCACAAGTGCTCAAACTCTCCACTTATATGCGTTTATTGTCTTATAGAAGAAATTATAGCAAGGTTTGGGACCTTTTTATACCAGTGTAGCATTGTTTGAATGTCACCACAGTGCTTACATAGTACAGCTATTAATAAATCATGGCCTGAGTCATTATTCGCCTTCTGCAGATTTCCCTTGCTGGACTCCAAGCTGCAGGATGGGAGGTGTCAAATGCACTCTCAACCACTGTGCCACAGTAACTTGTATACCTGACAAGAGCCTGGCAGACACTTGCTAAATGTATGAATGAATGAATGAATGAATGAGCTCTTTCCCTAGGAAGGAGAACTGACTTTAACTCAGGATTTGCTTTTTTTTTTCCCCTGAAAGTGAGTAAGGCAGATTAGCAAGAACACTACTCCTCCCAACACCATTTAGAGGGAACTTTGATTTCTCAGGCATGCATTCCTAAAATCAAACAGACAAATCAAGCACCCCCCCCCCCACTCCTTCTCAGTCTGATGTAGTCTTTAAAGCCCATAGAAGAATTCCCTGAATATAGAATAGGAACAAATTAGAAGACAGGATGATCTGCAGAAAACTTCCTGGACTGATAATGACAACTTTTTACTTTCTGAGCTGTGGAATGGGCATCAGGGTCAGTGGTACTTTGAGGATAATTACAGTCCTAAAGTGCTCCTCGTTGGCTCTAAGGCCTGCTTTGCTAACTATGAGTATTTTCTTATACTTCCTCCAGAAGTTTCTTTTCCAAAGTAGGTAAAAATAATGTTTCCCTGTTGTGACAATATATCACCCACACCCTGTACTGTAATGAGGTTATTGAGTAGCCTTATGCTTTTTTAACTTTTCTACCTAAGACCCTACTACTCATCTGAAGCTCTAAGTGTATTTAGGTGATACAGGGTGGTGGTGGGCTCTAAAACATTGGTTGATTGGCTGAATTAATCCTGCTTAAGTTAATAATAATTAAAAGGCCTTGCTGCCATGGTTTCATTTCCCCTTCCTAACAACCCTGGGAGATGGGTATTAGCTCCTTCAGCAGGAGACACCGGCTCAGTGCTTAGTTACTTGTCCTTGCCTAGCACCACCCAGCACCTTCAACTCAAATCCAATCCCTCTGCTGCCCTCCTTATCATTTTGATTATTCTCCCTGGTTCTGACTTTGCTTCCCCCCTCTCTCTCCTTCTCACCAGGAAAGGAGAAGAAACCCTTGGCAGAGTGGCATCTCATTGTGTTTCCAGCCACCGCCTGCTTCGTCTTGTTAATCTTCTCACTCATCTGCAGAGTGTAGGTATTCTTTAACATTCAAGGGCAGACTTTGCAGTGTGGTGGGCACCATCGCCCATGCTTATTATCAGGTGAAATTTACAGCATGCTGGTCAGGCTGAAATAAAACATGGCATACAGAAGCTAGACAGGACACAGCACAGTCCTCAGCCACCACACACTCCTCTAATTTGTTGACAATATTTTCATTTCTGTAGAGGTTTTTGACACTGTTCTTTTCCTTCACAGTCTCCCCTTCCACACTGGCTTGTCTTTTGACATCTATAAAAAGGCAGCAGGCCACCGAAGTCTGAATTCACCACACACTGCCTTCACATATGGGTCAGGGGTTGACCTCCTCCTGGCTTTCAGGCTCCTGGTCCAGAGTGGCTGTCCTTAGGTTAAATGCAGTTTCTCTAAAGGCTACACAGATCTCAAGTCCCACCTTGCATCCCGCAAATGGCTGCATGCACCCACTTCCCAATTGCTAAGGCAAAGTTCTGTTTTAGTCTAACAACTTAGGAAATAACTTCTGAATTAATAAGTAATAACTCATTAACATGTTATATTTGGATGCCTGTGGGTGATAGGCAGCAGTCCAAAGGAAAGGGAAAGAAGAGAGGGGGCTGTGAAATTGGCATAGTTGAAAGAGGAAAGCTAGAATGAGCAATGAATGAGAAGCCAAGCAAAGGATGCTGCCGACTCATCTTCAGAAGTCAGGCCTGGCAATGAGCCTGATGTAAAACAGTTAGGACTTCCTCTTCCCTGGAGAGCTCAGAAGCCACATCCCAGCCTGGCAGCATTCCAAGGTTTTCAATGATGATAAGATGTTTAGAAATCTTAACGAACAGAGAATCCAAATTTACAAGATGGTTACACGAGGAACCAACTTGGTCAATGAGTAGAAATCTAGGCAAGAGGACTGTTTACACTCACCCAATTCCTTCCCTGTTTTCAGGTGTCGCATATGGATCAAGTTATTTCCACCAATTCCAGCCCCTAAGAGTAACATCAAAGATCTCCTGGTAGTGACTGACTATGAGGTAATGTTTAAAGTCACAAAGAGGTGATATTCTAAGTGCCCTGAGATGAATATCAAGCTCTCTCTGTATATATAACACTCAATACCTATATGTATCTCTCTCTGTCTCTCTGTGTCTCTGTCTCTGACTCTCACTCTGTCTCTGTCTCTCTGTCTCTCTGTCTCCTCTCTCTCTCTCTCTTTCTCTCTCTCTCTCTCTGTGTGTGTGTGTGTGTGTGTGTGTGTGTGTGTGTGTGTGTAGTTAGATATAGATGTTATTATAGTCTCTACATTTAGGGAAAGTCTTAGTCAATGACAAGGGCTCTTGCCAGTTAAACTTGAATTTCAGTTTCACAGTCACGATGTTTTAACTGATCTCTGGTAATTCCTCCAACAACAGGAAATCTTAAGTTCCTTTTTAGTACATAACAGGCATAGATGAGATCCTGACAAAACAATATTATCAAGATTACTATAGCTTTGTTGTAAAACTTAACATGATGTAGACTGAGGTCTCCCAAAGTGGTTTTCCCTCAAGATATTTTGGTTAAGTCTTGAATTATTACATACATTTTAGAGCCCACCTGCCATTTTTCTCTAAGGGGGAAAAGGAGGGGTGGGAAGGGATGGGGGCAGACAGACAGCTGGATTTTTTTTTTCCTTTTTAGATGAGTTATCACTATGTAGCTCTGTCTTGGCTAAAATTCACTATGTAGACCAAGCTGGCTTTAAACTCATGGATCCACTTGACTGCCTCCTGAATGCTGGGATTAAAGGCAGGAAGCTGGAAGTCTGTGGTAAATTTGAGCTTCTGTGGTTAATTTGGGGAAAAAGCAACATCTTAATACTATTATCAGCATCTCCATATATTGAGGTCTTCTTTAGTTTTTTTCAGCAACATTGCAATATTTTCTGTGTATAATCAGTTATTGCATTTTGTCAACTTGACTTTATCTTTCAGTAGAGTGGCTATTGAAATAAAGGGCACCAAACTCTTCCTATAAAGACATAGTAAGCATTTAAGGTAGGATTTCTTGTTATAAAGCATGTATCTACATAAAATGCACTAATGAATAAGCATGGCTGTGTTATAATAAAACTTTATTTACAAAAAGAGATAATAAGTCAGATTGGGCTTCTTTCACTGACTTCTGACTTAGATCAAGGAATTTTCTTAACAAATTTAGAAGTTTCTTCAATAGATGTGGATGAAGCTTCTCATGACTAGTTAGAAGAAAAGGCAGGCTGATGAAAAATTCAACAAAATGGTTCATTTAAGTAAATCCCAAAAATTCTTTAGAGTCCCTTGCAGTTTGAGTTTGGAATGACTTATAGGCAGTAGGTTACTAAACTACTGAAGTAAAGACTTGAGGCTGGCCCGAGAGTCATGCTACCTTGCCTTTGTTCCTTGTTTTCTTCATTGAGGGTAGAGTCCACCCATGCTGGCTTATTTAGAGTTCTTTGGAAAAGAGCAGGCCCTGTGTGGATCTACTTGGGTGCATCTGAGTGGGCACTGTTCATTCCTCTTTGTTGTAGCAGAGGAAAGCACACGAAAGTTAAATATGACACATCAGCCACTTGTCCTCTTCTCTTAATGGAGCACCTGAAGGCTGGTCTCTAATTTCCCTAGAGAGTCCGGAAAGATTCTCTTAATATTCCGAGCCTGGTGAATGGGACTGGCTTAAGAGCTTCCTTTCTGAGCTCTTCTGGTTTGTTATTAATTAGAATCAAGTCATGTGTGTAGAATAATGACTTGGGGGTAGACAAGCTGCTTTTGGATTAATGTCCGCATTGCCTAGCTTCTCAGGATAACTTACTCTATGCACCCATTGCAGAGTTTTACATGAAAGATTGTGGAAAAGAGAGAGGGAGGTGAGAAACGGCCACAGAGAATTAAGGGACTGAAAACGTACTCTATGGTGTTTCCAGTATTATGGTCTAAAGTTTGAACCTAACATACCATGTGAGCAAGTAGAGAGCTGACCACAACAGCTGGACTACATGCAGCAATGTGTTCCACCAATGCCTCTCCACCTAAAGGCAACAGTCACCATCCCACTCATGGGGACCCTGTGACGAGAAAAAGAAGGCCCATGAGTGCTATTGGCACTATGGTCTCTGGGAAGCACCTGCCTATTGGAAAATAAATCTCTACATTGAGAGCTGATCCTTCACGGTGAGGGTTAGAAAGGATTTGTGCCCAGACCCCCTGTGGTTGTCAAGAACTGTGCTAGTCAAGCCCTGATGTAAAATGGCACAATATTTGCTTAGACTCTCCACATTCTGCCCCACACTATAAATCCTCTTAAAATTACTTCAAATAATCACATTGCAAATGCTGTGTGGGTGGCTATTACACTGCATCATCTGAATAATAACAACAAGAGCACTTGTTTGAACACACAGATACAAAACAGTGGATTTAGGGGCTCACTGTGACTTGCACCTCCGTACTCAGTAGGAATGCTCAAAGTCATGGGGCTTGGGAGACAGGGGTCATCCTGGAGTTGTTGCTAAGCAAGTTTTTGTTTCTTCAGACTTCAGTTTAGAGATTATTTTACAACATTCAATAGACAGTTAACATTTTGTTTTTGTTTTTCCTTTCTTTCTTTTCTTTTTCTTTCTTTTTTTTTTTTTTTTTTAGATTTAACTCTGAGTTTTCAAACTTATTGGAGATGAGTTTCTAGTTGACTTTTTTCCAGTGGTAACCAGAGAGGATGCTACCCTACATTATGTCCACTATACATAATATAAAGTATGTAATTCAGGAACCATGTCTGCTTTGTTTCTCAGATTATGCCAAATATATAGCATGATAGCTGGAGTAGAGTGGGTGTTAAAAATCTGCTGGATGAGGACATGAGGGAAAAATAAGATAATCTCTTTTTATTTTTATTTTATGTACATTGGTGCTTTGCCTGCCTGTATGTCTGTGTGAGGGTGTCAAATCCCCTGGAACTGGAGTTACAGACAGTTGTGAGCTGCCATGTGGGTGCTGGGAATTGAACCCAGGTCCTTTGGAAGAGCAGCCAGTGCTCTTAACCTCTGAGCCATCTCTCTAGCCCCTAAGATGATCTTTTATAGGGGATATTTCTAACATAATTTCTAATTGTTATTAGCCTTATGTGTTATCTAAAGTTAGAGTAAAACCAAATGCTCCACTTTACTAGAATCTTCTTATTTTTTGAGACAGGGTCTCATATAGTGCAGGGTGGCCTCAGACTCGATATATAGCTTACTATTACTTTGAAATTTTGATCCTCCCACCCCCATCTCCTAAGTGCTGAGATTATAGACATGAACCTCCACACTGGGTTTAATCCAAGCTAGCGCTTTGTACATGGTAGGTGAGCACTCTACCAACTGAACTTCATCTCTAGCCTCAAATTAAATGATTGTAATTGGTGAGTGGAATATGACCACATCTAACTGGGATGTATCTCCCGAGGAGAATACCTGCCTAACATGTACAAGGCTTGGGTTCAATCCCCAGAACAACATCATGACCCCCAAAATACAAAATATACTTAAAATATTATATGATATAAAGAAAAAAATTCATACACTTATGCAAGAGCTAGAGGGATATATTTCATTGGAAGAATATCAATAATAATAATGATAATAGTAATATATTTTATAAAGATAAAGCTGTGTGTCCCTGTTACTTCATTATGAGTGCAAAGGACACTTTATGTGTTAAAAAAAAAAAAAAGGCTGAGGAGAAGCAGTAGGGTATATTTGGGAGATAAGTTTATGAATATTTTTTTCTCCTTTCCATTTAAGTTTTCTTATTTGCAAAACAGACTATTGTTCTTTAAAAGTTAACTTAAAACAAACAAAAGAACATCAAAGAGATGAGATGTTCTCTAAAAGACATGTAAGGAAGTATTTTGTTTTGCAGAAAGCCGCTTGGAATGAAACCAAAATTGAAGCTGTAAGTTGTGTGGAAGAGGCTGGATTTGAAGTCATGGAAAATTCCATGTTTTGATGGCATTCTGAAAAGAATTCATGCAGGACTCCATGATAAAAGCAAGGAATAATATTTCTTGGCAAGAAGAAATTTCAAATGAACACACAATGCTCAATTTGGTTACCAGGAAACACATCCAGACATATATGAGTCTCCGATGTTCCATCTTTTAACTTGTACAAGCCTCATCAACACCTCCTTGCTCACAGTAGGACAATGGATTCAACAGAGCAGGGGCCTTGTTTTCCCACCCACAGTATATGAAGTATTGCCTGACCTGGTTATACAGGCCAGCGTTTGCAATTTGCATGGCTCACCTTGGACATTTTGCACAGGAGACAGTTTTTCAAGCTAATGTTATGTGTTTACTTTGGTTTGAGCTGACAACAGCAGCACTTTCAGCTACAGTGAGAGGAAGAGTGGAGCCCATCCAGAGTGAGCCCAAATTCAAGACTGTCTTTTCCAAAGCAAGTGGGAGCCATAACTTCATGGTGCTTTTTCTCGTTGAGTTCTAGAATACTTTTTTTTTTTCAAGAACTGTGCCTTTGTGTTGTGGTATGGGATGATGTAAAGTGGAGGTAGAAACAAAGACTATGTCCAGTTCTGTATGTCTGTCCCAGTAAGCATCTAAGGGAAACTACCTGAAAACGTACACTAAGACGTCATGCCTGGGGCTGAGGAGATGGCTCAGTCAGACAAGTGTTTGGTGAAGAAGCATAAATACCTGAGACTGGTCAACCAGCACCAAGGAAACAGAAACAAAACAGTGCAAGCAGCACGTGCCTATGATCCTAGTACTGGGAAACAAAAATGAGAGGCTCCATGGGAATTGTTGGCCAGTCAGTTTAGCCAATGGGTGGTTTCTAGGTTCAGTAAGAGATACTGTCTCAAAAAGGTAAGGTGGAAAGTGACTGGGGAGAACCCCTGACACTTACCTCTGGCCTACATACACATGTACACATACGAAGCCATACACATGCACACACACTAAAAACATCATCTATTAAGAGAGAAGACAGGGGTTTGTTCAAGGATTACATTCATCAAGGTTTCCTTGGTACTATGGAAATAAACTGAGAAAGACATTGAGCACAATTCTGCTATGGAGGTGACTGCTGGATCTAGAATGTACTTCCTGAAGGGATGTTTGATGCAAGAGCCTTCATGGCAACTTATTGGTCAGCTAGTTCTTGTTCAACCGTATTCTCTTAAGTTAGGGTTTCCTATAAGCCTTCTATCTCAGTACACATTACAATGGTAGAGAAATGTACTCTCTCAGTATCTTCTTATATGAAGCTGTTTCCATAGGTCTTTGTGATGGGCAATGGGCTGAAAGCAGAAGCAAGCACAACTATGTTCTGGGAGGAGGAATAATTAGTAGTAGAAGGGACCCTAATGGTGTTGGTTTTATATAGCCCCGAAGCAAGAAGCTTGAGACAATGAAAGGAGATGGTGGCACTTAAAATCCACACCATGATCTATTTTTTAATACTTTGTGGAGCTGGTTTAGTCAGTTTTGATACTCTGGGTGAGGTATATAAGGGGTACCAAATACCTCTTACATGGCTTTTCTGATTTAGCATACAACCATCCACCATTCTGTGCTCAGAATGAGAGGTAAAAGAGTCATGGACCTCTGCCAATATTGGACCTTCTCCAAAGGGTCAGAGCACAATCCCAGATTCTCTGCACTGTCTCTCTGGCCTTCACAAGTCTCTACTGTGTCACAGTCAGATATATGACTGCCTCCATATTAAAGATGCAACATATGGGGATGAGAAATGTCAATAGCGGGAAAAGGTTTGGTAATGATCTGAATCTCAGACTCAGCAGATCTTAGTAACACAGAGGAGAATATCACATAAAAGCTGAAGTTGGGAGGCTAGAGAGATGGCTCAGTGGCTAAGAGTACTTGGCTACTCTTCCAGATGTCTGTGTTCAATTCCCAGCAACCACATGGTAGCTCACAATCATCTGTAATGGGAACAGATCCCTTCTTCTAGTGTGCATGAAGACAGAGCACCCATATACATAAAATACATGAGTAAGGGCTGGAGAGATGGCTCAGCAGTTAAGAGCACTGGCTGTTCTTCCAGAGGTCCTGAGTTCAATTCCCAGCAACCACATGGTGACTCACAACCATTTTGTAATGAGATCTGGCGCACTCTTCTGGCAGACACTGTATACATAGTAAATAAATCTTTTTTTTTCAAGTTATTTTTGTTAAGAGAACTGAATTGATAAAGGCATAGTTTAGACAATATAATTCTTACACTTTTAACATTCTAGCTTATTTTTTATCATTACAAAAAAATACCCACAAGCAGTAAGGCAAAGTGCCTTTGTCACTTGAGTCTTTCATAAATAGTTCAGCTGGGTATTGGGCAATGTCACAGGTCTTATCACCACTCTGTTGATGAGAGTATTTTCTCCCCATAGTTCCACTTCTGAGATCATAGCTGTCTGCCTGCCTGCCTGAGCCCCCAAGAGCATAGGTACATAGGAATCAATTTTGCAATTGCTCTGCAGGCTGGAGGGATAGCTCAGCCGTTAAAGGCTAGGCTCACAACCAAAAATATAAATAAATCTTTTTTAAAAAAAGATAAATAAATAAATTAATTAGTTAATTTAAAAAAAAAAGAAAAGCTGAAGTTGGCTTTAGGGATCAGGCCAGGAAGTGGAGGCCTATGGGAGTGTTGCTATAATGGGAAAAATGTATATTTGATCAGCTAACTGACCAAGAATCTATGAAAAATGGTGCTAAAGAAACTCTATAATGGGCACTAGTCTGGGGTGGTGTCAAGAATTTGCATGGTCAATAATTCTCAAGGAAGGCTTATGCCACTGGTCTGCATACCACACTTTGATAAATTATTATGAGCGTCACAACTTGAAAGCTGCCCAATTTAAGAATAACAGTGGAAACAACCAAGCCCAAGAATTCTCTGTCTCTTGTCTTGCAAAGGAAACCTAGAAACACTATTTTGGAAACCTGCCTCTACCTAGGAGGCTGGACCAGAAGAGGGAGCCGAGGTGCTGGCCTCATACAAGGCCAGTTGTTCGTTGTACGTGTGTGAAGTTCTCATTTCAGAGAGGCCTCCCTAGACCTAGCAGCCAGCAATCCTCTGGGTTTCACAGATCTCCTGCCCCCCATCCCTGTGCTGGTGTTAACATCTAATCTTGGTGCATGCATAAGAAGCAACACAAAGTAGCTCATGTGGCCTCGTCAGCGTGTTGTGGACTTACTCTCCCTAATTCTTGGATTGTGAAAATCATTCTTTGGGAATCCATATCCAACATTATCTCTTCTATGAAGGTTTCAAAAACAGTTGGTAGGTCATGGCTCTGGAGGCTCATTGTGAGCCTTATGTGCTGGAAGATGTACCCAAGAGTTTAGCTACCTCCCTGATTGACTATATGCCCCAGGAGCACAAACATTGTGTATGTGAGATGCATTTTTTTATTTGCAGGGTCTAGAACAGTACCTAATCCTCTAGAGTTACAATGGTTCCCGAGGCTGGAGAGATGACCCAGAGGTTAAGAGCACTGGCTGCTCTTTCAGAGGATCTGGGCTTGATTCCCAGTACTCACATGGTGGCTCAAAACCATCTATAACTCCTGTCCCAGGGAATCTGATCCCCCTCTTAAATGGCTTCTGTGGACATTAGCATGCAAGTGGTACCCAGACATATATTGCAAAAATACTCATAACATTAAAAACATTGTATATGGTTAGTGAGCTAGCTAATGTTCTCTCAGCCTTGGCATAACATTGCATATATCTAAAATTGAATTGTATTCAGCAGAGATTATCAAGACCTACAATGCCATAGAAAGAAAGAGAGGTATCTAATAGAAATGTAATTGGGAGTAGCCAGAAGATACCTTGTGGCTGATGGAAGTTGAGGTCACAATACTGATTCCAACCAGCACAGGACAGAGACCCACCTTTTTTCTAGATCTTTTCTAGCCACAGCATATCACAAACAGCAGTTCTCCAAGATAGCATTTATAATGAAAAGTTTATTCCAACCCTTCTCTTTGGTACTTGAAATTCACAGTGAGTGATGTAAGGGGAGTTTGAGGAGACTGGGGAATGAGGAATATGTCTGCAACAGCCAAACCACCTGAGCCTCACTGATGTGCCTTAGGCCTCAAACTCTTTATGCCTGCTGGGGAAGAAGTCACTGGGGCAAGGAACATCCTGATTAAAAATCCCAGCGTTTCTGAGGTGAGACTTGTATGTGTCAGGACCATCTGTTGGTGGCATTTATAAACTGTAGGTGCTAATTTGTTAAAGAAAAAGCAGACTGCTTGTGAGAAGAGAGAACCAAAAACAACCTTGGATGGCCCAGGAAAAGGTGATGAGCTTGATTGAAACAGGACATAGTGTCACCCTAAGGATCTTTGTGACAAAAGCTGTGGAGCTGCTTCTGCTTTTACGTCCCATACATGGGGTTCCAGGACACAAACTTTTTCAAAACACTTCTTTTAGAATTTCATATTGAGTTACAATTTCTTTCTTACTTTTAATTTCTTTCTTTCTTTTAGCATTACTCTGTTTGGGATGTAGATGTGAACATGAGTATGGTTCAAGATGGGAACCCTTTAACATAAATGACATTGATTTAGTTAAGTCTATACAATCAAGGGAGATATATTTTTAATCCCTCCCCTTAAATATTCCTCCTTCTCTGTGTCCACTACTGTTCTCACCATTCTTCTCATTTTCAGGAGCCTCTGAGCTGAATTTCTGACCTCTAGCATTTCCTTTCTCTTAAAGGAATATCTTCCTGTTTCACTCTGTCTAGAAACCTAAAGGATGCTTCATTTAGCCAAAGCTCATTCTATCAAGAAGTCCACTGTGACCTGGCATCTCTGTGGTGCTCCAGCAAAACTGTGCAAAATCTAACCTCCATTCTGGTCTGTAAGCATCAAGTTGTCTTTCCCTTCCTCTCATGACTGCTTAAGTTTTCTCCAGTGGAAAAAAAGTCTTCTGATGATTCCTTTTTCCTTCTTGTCAACCTTGGATCTTCTAAGATTTAGCCCTTTGCCACATTGAAGTCTTCAATTTCTTGTCTGATTGATGTGTCCCTGTATGCTTGCCAGATACCTTCTACGTAATTCTTACACCATTCAACTGTTTGTTTCTTATTTATTGTGTAAACACCCTGAGGTCAAGAACAGTTAGTTCCTTATGTTCCGTTATTTACACAGGCCCTCAGTAGGAACTGAGTGGTTGCTGAGCTGAGTAAGACTAAAGAAAGAGACAGAGCATTCAACAGATATTTAGAATTCTAATTCAAACTCATGTATTAAAAGCTGCGTGATTATACCAGAAATGAAGTATACCATTAACTAATGGAGTAAGAATTCACAGTTGACATCACTCACTTGATCTGCAGCCAGCCAGCTGCTGGCACCATGCATGTGTGCACACAGAGTACCCAAGCTCTGGCACTCACAGAAGGGCCTGTGCACTGGGCACTTGCCCCAGCTTTTCTAGCCCTTTGATAATTAGCACATGGATCAGGAACACAATGTGGCCCAGGTATGTTAAGTTGAATTTCTAATGTGCTTTTATTTTTCAACTCAAAGCGTGTTTTTAAGTTTGTTTCTCTTTTCAAGTTAAAAGCAGAGGTTGGTCCCTACCAGGTGATAAAAGTGCAACAATATATAAACCTGGGAGGAGGAGGAGGAAGAGGAGGAGAAGGAGGAGGAAAAAGAGGAGAGAGAGAAGGAAACAACAAAGCAGTGGTATAGCTTACAGGCACCCAACTTGTCCACATGCCGGGTCTGAGGACTCGGGGATCTGTGTTGCACCTTCACTTTCTGGCACAACACAAGGTGTTCATGGGAAAGGCTGTGGCCCCGTATTTACTTGCAGAAAGTGGACCAATGGGCTCGGTTTCACGGGTGGGCTAATATTTTACTTGTACAGAGCTTAATGAACCCCAAATATGTTACCTCAAGGGTGCTGTTCTTCTTGAGTTTGTTTGGAACACAACCAATTTGA